ACATTTAACGAAAAATATCCTTTTCTATTACGATAAATTTCGTCAAGACCTTCGAATCTTGTATATGTTAATCGTATGTGTGTACAATCAATCGCACCATCAATTCCTGGTAAGCCTATCGCACCATTACCATATCCAAGAGTTCGGAATAGCATATGATTTTCAGTCATCCTTTCTTGCGAAGCAGGCATTTTTATAATTTTTCTAATTAGGCTAGCAAGTAAAACAGATACACTAAAAACAGTTCTGGATATTGTTGACTGCGACACTGCTATTGTGTCTCCAACAATAATCTAAAATATTGAAATTACATTATTTTATAATAGCCTTTAATCTAAAATATTTCTGTTTTTATAATTTAAGACATAAAGGATATGTATCATGCATCTAACCTGAAAACTTGCAGTCGCATAAAACCGTAAACATATTAATAACTGAAAAACAGGGGCAATAGGTAGACCACGATTGTTTACTTTCTGTAAATTCTCCTATATTTTTGGTAGTATTCTATACATCACCAAATTCTTAGAAAATCTGAATCTTTTTTTAAATTCAATGTCACTATAAAACTCAAATGGATTTTATCCGTCACGGATATATCGTTTTATAGCTCGTACTGCTATAATATCATTAATATCATAATATCATTAATTTCTTCAATGTCTTCTATATCTGGAAAATCCATTTCTTATTCGTTATAACAATTTTTTACACTTGCTTTCTAAAATAACCAATATACATAACCAATATTGGTTCAGCAGAGAAAGCAGCTTAGTAAGCGTTTTGTAACCATTATCTTAAGAGCACATCGGACTTGATTTAACGAAGACGATCTTATTTACTCTCCATTACATCATAAAAGACGACCTTAAATATAAGATTCGTCTATGAATAAATGCCTTAGTACATAATATTAAGATTGCTCTTAAGTTTTGACTATGAAACTACTCGTTATCTTAAGACTGTTCTTAAAACGATCTTATTTGAAGATAATCTTTATCAAGTATATGCTTAAGGCGCGACTTTAACGATATTTTAAGTCGCAACTGTGAAACTAGGTGACATCTTAAGATCGTTCTTAAGATAATGTTATATATAAGATCCGACTATGAATACCGCCCATACTCTTCCATAAAGATATAATGCACAACGCATGAGAAAATAGACCAATCAGAGTCCTTCATTTTCATATATTATGGCAATAGAAATAAAAACTGATTGGTCAATTTTCTTATGCGTTATGCATTATGCCTTTATGCAAGAATATGTGCTCTCCGTTTCACTCGGCTCGCTACTTCCCGTTTTATGCGCGCAGCGATCGGCGTGATGCTTTGAATCCGCGAATTTTTCACAGAAAATCGCTGAATGATTCTGCGGGGATGGTGCTGTAGACTTCAAGATTATATCTATGCGAATTGTTTGCGTATTTTCTTGATGTATATACGGTCATTTTTCATGTGTAAACAATGCAAATAGTGTAGAATATTGCAAATCGTATTAAAATATACAGAAAAAGTAATTAAATTAATGACAGTTATCCTATCTGTTTGGGATACTAATTACGCATGTAACGTTTCATAAAAATAATAAATCGCATAGAATTTATATTTTTCATTACGTGACATTTGTTAAGTTTAATTGTTAATTTTTAAACGATTTGTTATTCCCAACCCACTGATTCTATAAGTAACTAACAAGTAAACCTACCCAAATGTTACACTCCGATTTTAATAAGCTTTTAACATGCTGTAGTCTAGGTCTAAATAAGAGACACATATTTTTTTATATTAACACATATTTTTTTGCAAGTGGAGTCTGCACATCCACTTTTGCACGAACTCATCGGCAGACGTCTTTATGACGTCTTTAACGTCATAATGTTGTGTGGAGAGTTCTTCGTGTATACCCACATAGCACGTAATATTACATATCACAGTAATATTTCTATAATATTGCAATATCGCAGAAATATTATGGAAATATCATTGTGATATTGTATATATTACATGCTATATGGGTACAGTGAAAGAAATGGCTTGGTGAATGACTCTATACTCGTCTTATGAAAGTAATAATTATGAAAGTAATGGTGAATTTATATGCGATATCTGGTTCACATATTCAATATTCTGATTACGATGCCTCAACGCATCTGATAATCGATATCGAGACTTTTAGTTGTAGGCATCTAGACAGTTTGGTAATTCTCTCTGGACGTGTAATACTATAGACGTGATAATTAATTGTTACTCGCTGCGACGTTTTCTTTTTCATCTATACTAATTTGTAAAGACGTTGGTGCTAAGAATGGCATGAAGACGTTGGACAAAAGAATGGACGCTGAAACCATCAGATATTTGGAAGAATGGAATTTCTTAAAATATGTCGACACAAAT